GGTTCCCTTTGATCAGCACTACAACATCCCTTTCTCTGTCTGTAGGGGAAAAGTTAAAGACTAGTAACTATGAATGAAGAAGTTGAAATGTTTTCTAAATTCTAAATCTAGTTCTCAAAATAGGTTACAATATTTGGTTTAAAATTAGGAATTCCCAGGGCATTAGGCATATTTATAATTTGAAAATTACTATAAGAAAACATATTACATTAACAGATAATTTTAAAAATATATGACTGCTCATATGTTACTTTTGAAGTAAATAATCAAATCCTAACTCTGTAAGTTTACTGAAATCTGAGCATGATCTTTTACTCCTAAAATTTCTGAAGATTAGAGATTAGAGAATCAATTCACAAATTTGAATAAAGATTTCCTTCTTAATTTAAAGAGACTGCAAGTTTGCCTAACTGGCTTGTTAAGATGCCAAGTATTGATAGCTTCTGTAAATCACAGGCAAAATCTGTTAGGAAAATATTTTAAAAGAGGATAATGACAACTACTAGGAATATTGAAAATGATTTACCTTTTAAATGTACCTGCTCTCCATTACTTTTCCAGGCAAGGTAGACAGATTTGATATAAGTATGAATCCAGAAAAGTAGCTTCAGAAGTCTCGTGGAGCAGTCCAAAATCTTGGTTACTAGCCACTCATCTGTGTTTTAACTTGAGTTGTAAGTACTCTTAAAAGCCTCCACGTTGAACTGGGTTCAGAGTGGTCTTGTGGAAATGAATGCCTATAACTTCCTGATGCCTAACATGTTCCTAACACACTGGCTCGCATTACTTACATGCTGATGCTAATGGGCACCCTTCTGCTTACTTACTGCTTTAACTTGTTCAAATGAGGAGTGCCCTTAACTTGTAAAAAGCGCCACTTAATTCTCTTGAATTCTTCAACACAGAGTATATCTCAAATTGAGATATAAAGTAGAAAGGTTCAGCTTAGAGCAGAAATTTGTGTATTATCAGGTCTTTGGGCAGCTTCTCAACATTTTGTCAGTCTAAGAAACATTTTCTCTCTAATTTCTATTCAAAGAAAATTTAATTATATGTAGATCTTTTAGAAAGTGTTAGAGCAAACAAAATAAACACTGATGAAATAATAAAACTTCCCCAAGTATATAGGAAGGCCAGTTATGTGTTTCTTTTCTCTTTTTTAAAGAGATCTTAGAGCTTCCAGTAACTTCATTGCTGAGGCCCAGGGATGTGAAATAATGTCACCAAAGTAACACTTGTTTATGACAGTATCAGAACTAGAAGTCTTCAGTTATTTTTATGGGATGTGCTTTGTATACTTAACTTTTAAAAATCTTTCTTCAAATTTTTATAGATAAAATACTATCACCAAAAGTGTGTTCATACTCATTATTGGCAGAAACAATTGGCAGGAACCAATTAGTAAAACAATTTAGCAAAAAAGGAGGGGTGGAGGGTTAGGGGGGATAGAATTTAAAAAGGATTTGGAATAGTTCCCAGAATCCAAAGAAGATTTGAACAAATAGTTAAGTCTAGGAAAAGGTAGGAATTGAGTCATTTCAAGACTTTCAGTAGGATGAGCTTAAGTGGCTTCTCATAAAAGTGGTGTCATGACCACGTCATTCCAGTGATTTGTGGTGTGGTCCCTTAGTTTAAAATTTCAAGTGAGAGAGAGGCAGAGATGAAAGCCATTGCACACACTATTCTCACAACCTTCAGTGCCCTTCTGATTTGTCTACCAGTTGAAATCCTACCCATTTTTCAAGGTGTGTGTGTGTGTGTGTGTGTGTGTGTGCGCGCGCGTGTATGTGTGTTATATGTGTGTGTGTGATTTCCAGTACTCTGTATGTCTTCATCTTATAGTCCTTAACAAATTCTACTTAATAGTAGTACAGTAGAATCCCAACCCATATGGAAGGACATACAGGTAATTATTTGTGGATAAAACCCACATAAATGAAAACTCTTGGTCCTTAATATTTTTTAAGAGTATGTACCACAGACCATATGTGATGAGCTGTAACAGACTCCACTCCTTGAGGGCAGGAGCCATGTTTCATTTATCTTTGCTATTCTTGATGTGTTTTTCCTTTTTTTTTTTTTTACTTGAAAGGCACTCAGTAAATATCTGTTACATGTTTGAGCAAAATAATGGATTGTTTTTCAAGTTTTTATGGTCTTTCAAAATGGGCCAACAAAATAGTGTCAAGAAAGGGTTCCTATATTTAATAAATATGATCTGTAATTAACAGCACTGGTATTCAAATGCTTTAAGTAATTAAATATAATATTTAATACCTTCCCCCTAAAATCTTAAGCAATGTCTTGAGGAAAGAAAGAAGCATGGTTTAGTGGAAAGAATATGAAAACATGTTCCTGTGAAGCCTTTAGGTATATGAAGGCTTTACACTCTGCTTAGGGAGCTATATCATAAATAAATTGGCTTTTTAAATTTTAATTAAGAGGAGAAGGGAGAAAGAATAACAGTGAAGAGAGATGTGATGTTAAGAGCAGCCAATTAATTGGTACAAAGACTTCTCTTTTCCCTTAAGAAGCATTTACAAGCTATTTGAGATTTAAAGAAAAAGTTAATTTTTTTGTTTCAAAATGTGATATAATGGTCATAAAACTGTGGTTTTGGAAAGTGAATTTTATTGCTTTGTGATTAAATAATAGTGATGAGAGTGGTGGCCAGGTGCTTTGGACACTTCTTACCCTTCCCAGTGTTATATGGAGAATATTGAATCTAGAAATTAAATTAGCCTGTTCATGTGCAGTAGTAGATACTACTAAATAGGTGAGGAGCATTCACAGGTTGTATTAGGTACTTCTTGTGGTATTCAACATTTATAAACATGGATCTATATAAATAACATTTTTTCAGGAACAGTATTTTAGATGTATTTTGTTTTTTAAAAAGTATTACTGCCCTGGTTGGTGTTACTCAGTGGTTAGAGTGTTGACCCGCACACCAAAGGATCTCTGGTTCGATTCCCGGTCAAGGGCTTGTACCTACCTGAGTTGCAGGTTCTATCCTCAGCCCCTGTTGGAGATCATGTCTCTCTCACATTGATGTTTCTCTCCCCCTCCCTCCTTCCACTCTCTCTGAAAAATAAATGGAAAAAAATATCCTTGGGTAAGGAGTAACAAAAAAAAAAGGATTAATATGTGCTTTAATAGTGTGCTTGTTCTAATACATTTATAATACTTTATACATTGAAATTTTCCCAAATCTTGTTATTGTTAAGTTGGTTTTCTAGATAGAACTTTTAGCTTCAGTGAGAAGCAAACTCTAATATAAGATGTGTTTTGTTTTAAGAAAATTAAAATTCTAATCTTACTAAATCCATTAATAAGAAATTTTTTAGATGTTTTAAATTTAATATAAAAATAATTGAAAGCTTATTATTTCCTTCCTGGCATTCTTTGAGGTAAGGTAGGCATTTCTCATCATTGCTCTTTTTGTCATCTGACAGATTGTTCTTGAGATTTGTTGCATATGTTGCACTGATGGACTCTTGAACCATTGAATTACATAGTGTGTTCACAATTATTGCATATGGGCTACAACAGGGAGTCTCCTGGAATTTGAAGACAAAATTAAGAAAGGTCATCACCCTTTGAGAGTTTTTCTAGTCTAAATCTTGTAAGTGTGGTTTTGTCTGCACTTTACAATTTTGTCAGTTTCTCTCTCTCCCCCAGGGAACTGCATGTTTCCTGAAGATAGTACTGTGTCTTAATCATCTTTGATTCCACAATGCCTAGATGGTGCCCATCACATAGTAGGCATTTAGTTAAGGTTAGAGTAGTGCATAAAGTCATTCACCCTGAAGAGCTGAATCATAAATGCATGTCTGATGAGCCAAAGGATTTCCTGATTCTCTTCTCAAAACCTGGGTGGATTCTCATAAAAATATGACTGAGCCATAGCTTTTTCTAACTATAGTCATTCCTTTCCAGACTGTAGCAAAGCTGATACTCTCATGGGTAGTCATATATTGATATAATATCAAATAAGATACAGTATTTTAAGTGACTTTACCACAATGCTTGGTGGCTAGTAGGCACACAGTAGTGCTAACTTTTGTTTCCTTTTTCTGTTTCTCTTGGATTTTGTATGAGGGTCACCAAGAAAAATCTTTTTAATGGTAGGAAAAATTATCCTTCTGTTTGGACAATAGCACTTCAGCGTCTAGTTTGGACACACCCAAATTAATGATTCTGCTGGAAAGAGAAGTCAGAGCAACTGGCAGGCAGAACTGGTTCACAGACTTAGACAATGGACCTGCCAGTTTCACAATATTTTCTAGGCTGGCTGTTCAAGTCACTGTGTATTCTAGGATTTTATTTACATATATATGGATGTGTACACATGCCTGCATATATTAAATTTTTTGTCCTTTTAAACTATTCTCTTGAGAAAGAGCCAAGTGCATAAAAGCTATTTTATTGGAGGGAGCTGCAGCAGTCCAATAAATAAACCTGACAGGAGCCTGTTGCTTTATTTACTAGCCAAGAATAAAGTTTTTCTCTATTCCGACCAATGACTCTACTATAAACTTTAAAATATTCATTTTGAAAAAATGAACAAGATAGAAACAGACTCATAGATACAGAGAACAGACTGACAGTTAACTAACAGAGGAAAATGGGGTGGAGAGGATGGTGAAACAGGTGAAGAGATTAATTGGTAGTTACAGAATAGTTACAGAGATGTAAATTACAGCATAGGGAATATAGTCAGTAATATAATAAGAACTATGTATGAGGTCAGGTGGGTACTAGACTTATCTGGGTTATCACTTCATGAATTATATAAATGTCTAACCACTATACTGTATACCTGACACTATTACAGAATAATACTGAATGTAAACTATAATTTTAAAATATATTCCTTTTGTTTCTTTGATTTATACTATTTCTTTTTGCTATTACTGTGGGTAATGTGTCAGAATACAATCTTGATTATGATAAATGTTAACTCTGATACATTTGTTATTTTTTTCTTTCCATTCAAGATAAGCTTTCATTGGAAGGAATAGTGGTACAAAGAGCTGAATGCCGACCTGCTGCAAGTGAAAACTACATGAGATTAAAGAGGTTGGTGTTTTTTAACTTTAAAATAATACTTGATATTTCCTTTTAGGGATTGAAATGCATATGTTAGATTGCCTATTGACTGTAACTATGGTTGTAATTGAAAGGGTTTTCAAAAGCTATTTGGTTTTAAAACCAAGTAAGAACAAACTTCCAGTTAAAAAATAAGTCATAGGGAGGTAGTTTACAGCCAGGTGACTACATTTAATAATATTGCATATTTGAAAGTTGCTAAGAGAGTAGATCTTAAAAATTCTCATCATAAGAAAAAATGTTTTGTAACCATGCATGGAAACTAACGTTAACTACACTTATTATAGTGATCATTTTGAATGTATATGATTTTCAAGTCATTATGTTGAACAATTAATACTACACCTAAAAATATGTTATATGTCATTTATACTTCAATTTTTAAAAACTCCAAGTAAGAGTTTCTTTGGCAAGGAAACTTTCAGAACATGGGTTGTTTATTTGTGGTATTTAAGATATTTATATATTATAACATGGAATCAAACATTTTAAAACTTCTTTTTCTAGTTATTCATATAAATCTTGATTTTCCAAAGCTGTGTAATGATATCTTTGTACTATTTTATTTTCAAAGGTTATAATCTTCCCATAATATCTAAAATATTATACTATATAAAGCAAGTGTATTACTAGAATATCATCCTTTTGATCTGCAGAGAACATTTTATAAACTTATTACTTTGTTAAAGCTTTTGCTTCAGGGTCCTCACTTTCCCACTTTTGTATGTGCCTAACATTTTGTAATATTTAAAGATAATGATTACAAATTCTTGATATTTAAAAAATTTTTTTACTTTCAGAGTCAGCAATTTTTAAACCCTGAAGAATTGTATTATACTATTATAGTTTATATTGAATGTATTTCAGCCCCATATAGTTTAGAATCATAAATTTGTTTGTTTCAGTTCTTACTATGTGAAACAAAACAGACAGAATTCTGCCCTGTGGAGCTTCATTTTAGTGGACTGTAACTGCACAGAGCTGGTAGTGGAGAACACCTGGTGATGTGGAGTGGCAGCCTCTCAGACTTCATTATTCTCATTTAGGGGCTGGTTGAGCTGGATCATCTCTAAATTGTACATCATCTTTTTAATTTTTCTCCTTTTCTCGAATTAGAGTTTATCTCTTGGGAATAAAAAAAAGAGAGAGAGATTGGTTTTCTTGTCCACTAATTTCTCTAATTTAAATGCCTCCCCACAGCAAATAAAAGTATAACAATCAAAATGAAAAATGTTTTATAACTTTGGAACTTAGGCAGAAGATGTTTCTCTCTTTGTTTATAGCCTGTAAAGTCTTTGAAGATTTGTCTTCAAATAACTACTGAAATTGGAAAATGCGAAATCTGGTTACTCAGCTGCCAAGATTTTTTTCTGTGGTCTTGATTTTCTTTAAAGATTTCTGATAATGAGCAGACAGGTTGCTGGTACTTTTGAAGTGGCTGCTTTTTTCTTAACAAAAAAGAAATTAAAATTGTTTAGCCTTTAGAGTATGTTAAAACACCAGCCATTGCATATTTCAGTTTCTTCAGTGGTTTAGAAAATAGGGTGCTTCAGGAGATGATAATCATCTGAGTTTCATAAAACAAATACCTACCATAAGTTTTGAAGAGGTAGAATTTTTTACCACATGGGAAAAGACAGGAATAAGAACACTCTACACAGTGATATGAAGGCACAAAGACTTGGGGAACACAGTAGAGACTTGCTTATAGTTCTGCAAGACTGGAATGCAGGATTTGTTGTAGGCAGAACAAACATAAGCTCCAGCCCAGAACTTTTCTTTGAACTCCAAACTATACACCCCAAAGTCTGGTTCATTGTCTAATAGATATTCCGAATATGTCAAAAATTGAACTTCCCATCTTTCCCAAAAAACCTGCTCCACCAGCAGTCTTTCTCATTTGAGTTAACTCTGCTCTCCCATTTTGTCAGTCCAGAACTTTGACCACATTCCTTACTCTTCTCTCACACCCCACATCCAATGTGTCAGAAAAATCTGATTAACACTGCCTTTAAAATATTACACATCTGCAGGCTCACCGTTTCTCATCACCCACATGATCTGTCATTTCTCACCTGGATCACTGCAATAGCCTCCTCGCCAAGTTCCTGCTTCCACTTTTGCCGCACTGTAGTCTGTTGTCAACACAGTAGTCAGAGTAGTTCTTTTAAAATCTGTCAAATCATGCCATTCCTCTACTTACATGTCACTTGCAGTGCTTGCTGTATTATTCAGAATAAAATTAAAGCCCTTGCAGTTGTCTGCAGAGTCCTACATGATCACCCTTTAATTCCTCCTGCTTTTCTCCACATTCATCTCCTAATCTATACTAATAAAAGGGTAATATGCTAATTAGATCAGACATCTTCCAGTTGTCCAGTCCTCCTTCTGGACAAAACCACAGTGGCAGGGGCTGAGGCAGAGGCAGTTAGGGGCAATCTGGCCGGCAGGGGAGAGCTGTTGGGTGGAGCGGGGAGGGGCATAGCAATCAGGCCGGCAAGGGAGGGCAATTAGGGGAGATCAGGCAGGCAGGCAGGTGAGTGGTTAGGAGCCAGCAGTCCTGGATTGTAAGAGGGTTGTCTGACTGCCAGTTTAGGCCTGATTGCACTGGGATCCATCAAGGGGTCCTGGATTGTCGAGGGTGCAGGCTGGGCTGAGGGACACCCTCCCCCTCCTGTGCATGAGTTTCATACACCGGGCCTCTAGTAGTCCATAAGTACTCTAGGCATATTTCTGTATTAGGGCCTTTGTTTTGGATGTGCTTTTCTGCTTGCAACATATTTTTTCCAGATTAACTGCGTGGCTCAACTCCTCTTTCAATTCTCTTTTCAAATTCTACTTTAATAAGGCCTACCCTGACCATACTACTTCCTCCTATACTTGTATTTTCTTCATAGTACATAGCACTTTCTAATGTATGTACCCAAAACATATTTATTGCCATCCTTGCTCTAGTGCAGTTTTAAGTGTTTAAGGACAGAATTGGCAATTCAGTACTTGAACTATCCTGTACCTAGATATATCACACAATAGAGGCCCGGTGCACGAAATTCATGCATGGGGGGGAGGTTGTGTGTCCCTCAGCCCAGCTTGCACCCTCTCCAATCTGGAACTCCTCGAGGGATATTCGACTGCCTGTTTAGGCCTCATCCTTAAACGAGCAGTCGGACATCCCTCTCACAATCCAGGACTGCTGGCTACCAACTGTTCGCCTGCCAGCTTAATAGATGCCTAACTGCTCCCCTGCTGGCCCGATTTTCACTAACTGCCCTCCTCTGCTGGCCTGGTCACCTCTAACTGCCCTCTCCTGCTAGCCTGGTTGCCCCCAACTGCCCTCTTCTGCTGGCCTGATCACCCCTAACTGCCCTCCCTTGCCACTTTGGTTACCCCAACTGCCCTTCCCTGCCAGCTTGGTTGCCTCTAACTGCCCTCCCCTGCTGGCCTGGTTGCCCCCAACTGCACTCCTCTGCTCGTCCAGTCACCCCTAATTGCCCTCTCCTATTGACCATCTTGTGTCCACATGGGGGTGGACGTCTTGTGTGTTGGAGTGACAGTTTGCATATTACCTCTTTAGTAGATAGGATATGCTCAAAGTTTTTCAGTGATTCCCTGATTACCTACGTCTTTATGACATTCAAGTTTTTTATAATTTGGCTCTAGTCTCACTTTCTGACTTCATTTTCAAATAATCTCCTTTACCTAGACATCAGATGACTGTATCACAGTAGAAGTTGTTACCCCAAATGATCTAGGTAGGCACTTTTACATCTTATGCCTTTGTTACATGCTGCATATTTTACCTAAGACGCCTATCTACTTTCTGCCAGGATCCTTCTGAACCTTTAAAACCAAACCAGTTGTCACTTAGGGAGACCTTCTCACAGCCTCTACTCCCCACCAGCTAGGATTTGCTGCCCTCCTTTTCTACATTCCACATACTTAATTATTATTCTTTACTGGTTTTATATAAATGTCTATTTTCTACCGTTTACTTGAATGTAGTTGCAGCTTCTACAAAATTATGAACTTCATAAAAATAAGGACTGAATTTTATTTTTCTTCTCACTCTTCCTCCCTCTTTTTTATATTCTCTATACTTAGCATAGTGTGTTTTAATATTAAAAACCCAAAAAGATTTGTTGGGTTGAAATAGAAACTCCAGGTATAAAAACTTGGACTCAACAACACTCAGCTTCTTTAATTTTCTTACTCTGAACTGCACTTGAAACTGGAGTTGATTTTTCAGTATGTATACTCATGTATGTTTGCACACACATCTTTCTTGGAAAAGAGGAAATGATTATAAAACAAATGTAAATCTATTTCATCAACAATTAAGAATTTTTTCAAAATATAAAGTGTTGAATAGTCCTCCATTTATTTATCAAAGACCTTTTCTTAAGTCATTAAGGTTTATTTCTATATTGTATTTTAGCAAATAGTGGTTAGTAACATAAATGGGTATATTAAAAAGTGTATTTTATATCTATATACATATAAAAGCTAAGCAATCAGAACACCAGAACAACCGGTTGCTATGGTGCGCATTGCGGCCAGCCAGATCAGGGATGGGGCTGGCTGGCCTACTGCCCTCGGCCTCTCCCCCCAGCCAGCCCGCAGCCCCTCCCTACCACTGGTCCGGCCCAGTCAGCCCATATGGGGAAGAGGATGACCAGACCCACACATGCACAAATTCCTGCACTGGGCCTCTAGTTCTGTATAATAAAGAGTTAATATGCAAATTAACCTTAAGCCCTCACAAGAAGGCTGCCTACGACCAGGCTGGCAATGGGTCTAGTGAGGGATAGCCAAATGACTAAACAAGCAGGCTGCATGGGGTAACCAGGCTGGCAGGGGGGTTAGTGAGGGACAAACAATGACTGAACAAGAAGGCTGCATGGGGTGATCATACTGGCAGGGTGGGTAGTGAGGGTCAACCAAAAGACTGAACAGCAGACTGCATGGAGTGA